CTTGAGCCCAGGAGTTGGAGGTTGCTGTGAGCTGTAAAGCCAGGGCACTCTACCCAGGGGGACAGCTTGAGGCTCTGTCTCAAAAAAAAAAAAAAAAGAAATAAAGAATGGTAAACCGATAGAGTGGAATATATAATAAAACTATATATGAATTTGCCTTTCAGCCTGGCCATCAATTTCCCTTCTATAAACTTACTTGGAAGATACATCTATAACATTATAAAAAATTGGAAGCATGGATTGGTCATTGCTTGTCATTACAAGTTATTGGCAATTGCCTAAACACTTAATCACAAGGAATTGGTTAACTACTATGCACACACAAGGGAGTACTATACAGTGGGGAAAAAGGACGATCTTTATAAATTGATATGAAGTGATTATCAGGGTATTTTGCTAAGTGGGAAAAAGCAAAGTACAAAAGAGTTTATATAGCACATTACCTTTTGTGTAAGCAACAAGGAACAATAAAAAATGCACAAATCAATTTATTTGCTTATTTTTACAACACACACACAAAAGACGAGCCATAAAACAATGAAATTTGTCATCTACAAAGGATAACAGACAAATTCAAACTGAAAAACATTTTATAAAATAACTAGCCTGGGATGTCTATAGCCCAGTGGTTAGGGCGCTGGCCACATGCTCCCGGGCTGGTGGTTTTGAACCCTGCCCTGGCCTGCTAAAACTAAAGAAAACGAAACAAAACAAAAAATAGCTGGGCGTTGTGGTGGCTGCCTATATTTCCCGTTACTTGGGAGACTGAGGTGAGAGAATCACTTGAGCCCAAGAGTTTGAGGGTGCTGTGAGCTGTGATGCCACAGCACTCTACTGAGGGTGACAAAGTGAGACTCTGCCTCAATAAAAATAAATGAATAAATAAAAAATAACTGGCCTGATTTCTTCAAAAATGTGAATGTTATAAGAGATAAAGAAAGGCTAAGATATAAAGGAAATAGAGCTAAATATATAAAAGAAAAAAAATTAAAAAGAGGCGAAGAAACATTTCAGATTAAGGAGAAAAAAAAGACACGACAATTTAACCTCATCTATGATCCTGGTCTGTATCCTAAATTGGAGAGAAAGAAACACTATATAAAGGTTTTTACTAAAATAATGGACAAAATTGGAATATGTCTCAGATAATTATTTATTACGTCCCTGTTGAATCTCCAAATTTTGTAAGTATCCTGTGGTTACCTGAAAGAAGATCTTTGTCCTTAGCAAGGTGCTAGTTCACCTGCTGTAAATAATAATGTGTGTGTTCTGTTAGGACAGGCGCCAGACACCTGCAGGCAGTTAGGGCAGGAGTTGGCAGGAAAGGCAACAGGGCAAGAAAGCGACAAGCATGTGACCCTGCTTAGCCAAGGCAAATGTAACCACATGTAACGAAATGTAACTACAAGGGACTCTGGTTATTTGACTTTAGCCTTAACATCTTTATCTAAGGTAAAAGATGGAATCCCTTTAATTATGGAAACAGTGTCCCTAAAAAACTACCCTCCTTGGCATAGTGAAAATCACACCCACCAGTGCAATGCCAGCTTAGAAATACCATGGCAACTCCCAGATGCGAGACCCCATCTCTTCAAAAAAAAAAATTTTTTTTTAGGGCAGTGCCTGTGGTTCAAAAGACTAGGGTGCCAGCCCCATATGCCGGAGGTGGCAGGTTCAAACCCAGCCCTAGCCCAAAAAAAAGGACAGTAAGAGCTGGCACGGGGGCTCACACCTGTAATCGTAGCACTCTGGGAGGTCAAGGCGGGTGGATTGCTTGAGCGCAGGAGTTCGAGACCAGCCTGAGCAAGAACAAGATCCCATCTCTTAAAAAAAATAGCCAGGCCTTGTGGTGGGCACCTCTAGTCCCAGCTACTTGGGAGGCTGAGGCAAGAGGCTCCCTTGAGCCCAAGAGTTTGAGGTTGCTGTGAGCAATGATGCCGCCGCACTCTAATGACAGAGACAAAGTGAGACTCCTACTCAAAGAAAAGAAAAATTTTTTAAAAAGACAATATTTGATATTCCTATCTCATCTTCATCTTTGACTAGATAAATCTCTTCCTTCACTGATACCATTAAATGTTGTCTTTATCTTACAGTTTTACTTTGAGGGGGATAAGAAATAAGAAAATTTCTCCCCACTTGACAAACAGAAACTGAAAACAAAAAACCTCAAGTTCCGAGTAGAGAACTCGCTTGCCAGAAATTAGTGAAGGAAGAGGGCCCGCCTGGTGTGGATTTGTGCTG